GGAAGGAAAGCAGACGACACCTTATTGCACGTGGCTAAGCAGGCCGTGCGTGGCCCGGCGCCTTATTCAGCCTCCTCCTCGGGTCGCGAAGCGTGTGCCGTACGGCGCGAGAAAATGGTTTTTATTCCGGGAGTTTCCCTCCATATCGCATGTTCCGCTCGCTTATGGCCGGGGGCCGAGGAGTGGGGCGGTGGAGCGCCTCGGCCTTCCTCCTCCTCCTCCTCCTCCTCCTCCTCCTTATGTGTGCTGCTGCTGCTGATGCTGCTGCTGGGCCAATTTGGGCAGTTAGTTGTATCATATGGGAGCAGAGGCAGCGCCCTTCTTTCATGATGGTAGAGTGTTAGACCAGTTGCCGCCAGTGAGTAGGCCAATGCATTTAGGCGTGTTTCCGGGCGACTATTAAAAAAATAAATATAAAAAACTAGACCCACCGGAAAACAACCGTACTATGCTGCTCGTGCCAGGGAAATGCCATAAGAGATAAGGCTTTATTATAATCAACGGCCAACACCCTGTAATTGTAAAATTCAGTTGACTTGTTCCGTCTTAAAATGGCCCTGAAAATTATTATCAATAGATGCAAAGCCAATTTTTGCGCGACGGAAACCCGTCGATCCCTTTCGATCGAGGTCCGTCCGTTTATCTTTCCGTAGATCCGTCCGTCGGCAGGTCTGTTTATGGTCCGGCGGGTCCCATCGCGATGTGCCAGTCACCACGGACGGGGTAGGCTGCTTCGCGCCGCCTTTTGCGACAACCGTCGGCAGTTGCATTTCGCTTTCAAGAAGTGCATCGGCAGAGAGCGGCAGGCACGGCCGGCGGCTGGTCCAGCTCCAGCAGTGCAGGGCGGGGCGGGGCGGGCGGGGCGGCCCAGGGCAGCGCAGGTGCATGAATGACATAACAGGAGTAGGGGGGAGGGGAGGGCGAGGGGGCTGCACCGCTGGCTCGCTCGTTCGCGGCGCCGTCGCGTGCCCCGTACTGTCGTGGGAAGACGAACGAGGGCGGAGGGGGGAGTGCATATCACGACCGATTCGTGTTTGAGTCTTGTCGCGTCTCGCGGTTGTGTAGCGGAACCGAGCTGAGGCGGTGCCCCCCCCCCCCCCTCCTGGCCCGGGCGCTCGCGCGTGAACAACCAGGTGTCAGCGGGAACGGGAGGGATGGCGCGGGGTAGGCCGTCATGCGGGGTGGTGGGCAGTGGGGTCTCCCGTGCCCTGCCCGACTGTACGGGTCGCTGGGATGGTCAGGCTCGGACCCTTACATAAGGGCAGGTCCGCAGAGCTGAGCCTCCCGCCGCCATGCCCCGACACATCGTCCGCATACACCGCGTGTGACACACGGCGTCGCCGTCGCCCACAAGAGCGGGCAGCACGGTCGGTGGAGGCAGGGGACTGCGACAGACCTGGAGGCTGGAGGGGAGCAGGTTTTAGGGGCGCTTCCTCGGTGAATCGCACGCTACCCCCCCCCCTCCTTTCCCCGCATGCTCACCGCGGGGCTCTGGGCGGCGCCCTGCCTGCCCGATTGTATAGTTCCTGGCCGTGCTTGCTCTGGGCGGCGCCCTGCCTGCCCGATTGTATAGTTCCTGGCCGCGCTTGCTCTGGGCGGCGCCCTGCCTGCCCGATTGTATAGTTCCTGGCCG